CTTAACATCTTCAATTTTTTGTCTTGGCGACCTGTTTACTACAAAGCTTGCCATCAGATTGTAACAGAGGTAGAATTTCTTTTCTTTTTTTATAAATTTATTTATTTATTTATTTTTGTCTGTGTTGGGTCTTCGTTGCTGTGCGTGGGCTTTCCCTAGTTGCGGTGAGCGGGGGCTACTCTTCATTGCGGTGCGCGGGCTTCTCATTGTGGTGGCTTCTCTTGTTGTGGAGCACGGGCTCTAGGCGCGCAGGCTTCAGTAGTTGTTGCACGCGAGCTCAGTAGTTGTGGCTCGCGGGCTCTAGAGCGCAGGCTCAGTAGTTGTGGCGCACTGGCTTAGTTGCTCCGTGGCATGTGGTATCTTCCTGGACCAGGGCTCGAACCCGATGTCCCTTGCATTGGCAGGCGGATTCTTAACCACTGCACCGCCAGGGAAGTCCCAGAATTTCTTTCTTCATAAAGTTATTTCCTACTTAAACTCCCCTTCATTCACCAAACTTCTTTTGAAGACCTTTTGTATGGCAGCAATAACAAACGGAGCTAACTAAAGTGGATGCCAGGAGGCCAACATTAAAATGATGTGCTAGTTTGATTGTCCTGGTGATAGGTATATACTTTCCTTTCAACGCCTAAGCATCAGACATGGCTGTGAGTTTGCTTCTAAGGGGAACCCTTGACAAGCAACTATTCTGTTTTGGTTGTGAAGGTTTTGTCATTCTGTGTATCCCCAGTAGAACATTGGACTTGTTATTTGTAAAATAGTTATGATGTCCTTAAACATTCTAATATTTTTAAGTTGCACATTTTTATTACTGTAATTAAAAATAAAAAGTAAACTGTAATTCTATTGATATGTCACCAAGAATAACATATGAAGGGGTACCGAGAGCCCCTAATTAGCCAAGACTGAATTTGCCTCAATTACAGTTAGTAAATGAGAGGTTATCAAGTATGTGTTGAAAGGTAAAGTAGAAAGTGTATCTTAAGCAACAGATCATTACTGAGAGACGTTATATAATTACTCGGCTGGAGCTTAAAATAATATTGTTAGGTGTCAAGAAACAGTTGAAAGTAATGACCCTATAAATCCTGTTAGCAACCTTAGCCTATTACAGATAAAAGACTGAACAGTTTTATTCAGGCATCGTGACAAACTTTTGCTATTCCAGTTCACTTCCTGAGTAAGGAAATGGAGCCTCCCACCTTCAGAGGCAGAAGAAAATGCGTACACACACACTCACACGCCTGCGTGCAGACGCGCGCACACTCACTGCAGTGAGTCAATACTTAGTGGTTTTAACCCACCCAGATGAGAGTACAGGGCCTGCAGTTTCTGGTCATGAAATATGAGAGCTTAACTTCTTACAAAAGATGTGCTTTTTATCCAGATGAAGTTCGCTTCGTCTAGAACACATAGCAGTATTTCCATATGAAACAATTATGCTACAAAACACCCATCCTGCCACCAACACCAACACTTTAAAAAAGAATGCGTGTGTTTTACTAAGGAATTTTTTTCCGCATGATGCCTCACGCGTGAAAAAGACTGCTGAAAATTCTGTGAAACTGGCCCTGAGAGTAGTAATTAATTACTTGTGGTGTTCCTGGCCTCAGAAACGTTTTGATCAATTAAGCATCTTACTAGTTCCTGATACTTGTGGCTAAATACCTTAGGGTTCTGATTAAATAACTGTACCAGGGACTAAGGTAAAAAAATGACCATTGCCCTGGATTTGCATCCATTGTTTTGGGGATGCACCTACAAAGGAGAATGGTACCTTCTACTGTTGTCCATGTGCAGCACCCCACCCAGCCATACACCGCGACTCTGCTTCCTAAGCATCCTGCACTAATATTATTATTGTTCTAGCCCCTGATGGAAGTTTTCTTATTTCTTCAGTGTGTTAAAGAGGGGGATGACTAAAATCTGTATTATCTGAAAGGCCATAGATAGGATAATCTTAGACGTTTACATCAAATCTTGAAATATTAAAACTAAAAGTATCATTTGAAGATCAAAACAGTTAATATTAGGATAAATATCAAGACATTCTGCTTTACTCCATAAGTGGTTAAACTTATAAAACACTTTCTGCTTAAAGCAGAAATAATTTCAAAAAAGTGTAAGTAAATGATGGCAGATCCCCTGTTTAATGGAAGGCACTAAGTTTGATTAAGGTACATCCCTAATCTTTTCAAAGTGTCAAAATAATTATAATAGCCTTCCCTGTCACCACTACTATTCGCAGGGCACCTCCATGTACCAGGAAATGTGCTAGATACTTGACCTATATCATTTCTAACCTTCTGGGTAGATGCCATCACCCCCATTTTAGCCTTATTTTCAGGTTAAGGAATCTCCCACCCAGAGGCAATAAAGGACTTGTTAAGTGCTAAATCGGACTTTGAAATTGTGTCTCTCTAGTTTCAAAGTCCATGTTATGTCTACCATACTTCAGCCTTACAAAATTTGAAGTGGTAAAACAGTGTTTGTAGGAAGAGGGCTAGACCAGGAATCCAGAAACCTCAGTTCCAGCCACAGTTCTGCCATTAATTGGTTGAGTGAGCTTCAAGAAGTTATGTCACCTGTTTGAGACTCAGTATAGGTAGTACATATAAACTGAAGAAGCTAGTCTAGAACTCCAGGTGGTTTCTGAAATCCCTTCCAGATTTTTAACCAAACAATTAAATTAGCTTTAATTTTAGCAGTGACGCCAAGAGTTACTGGGTTGGTTGCATGCTGAGTCTTGCACCCCGGAGTAGCAATCAATTCTTAAGTTTTTTTGTGATGGCCAGGTGAAAGCAATAAGCAGTAGCAATTACAGTAGATAAGTAGAAAATGGATTCTATATAAAGACTGTCATTTGACATTCTGTACAGCTACCACCATGGTTCTGAACCCTACATTTAGAAAAATGGTTGGAACTCATATATTCTGTATTCATGTTAAGTCCTTCTGAGTGACCAGAATATCTTAAACAGAGGCTGTCTTTGCCTGTCAGGTGGTCATTGGTGGTACACAAGCTGTGTTTAAAATCTATATGTTAATATAATGGTCCCTGCATCGCACAGTATATTCTTGTAGCTTATATTGTACAACATGGGGAATATAGCCAATATTTTATAACTGTAAATGGAGTACAACCTTTAAATATTGTGAATCACTATATTGTATATCTGTAACATATAATACTGTATAGCAACTATACTTAAATTTTAAAAAAGAAAAAATTACACTCACTTATTATGTTTTGAATTTAGCCAAAGGAAAAAAATATACATGTTAAGTCTACTTTTTCAATTAAAAAAAAATGTGTCTTATCTGGGTAAGAGAAATCCAAAGGAAGTTCTGTAGCAGAAGAGAATATGGATTCACCAAAAGAAGGTGTTCTGCTTTGCAGGCAGTCTCCCTTACCCCAGTGCATAAAACATCATTGTCAGTAGCCGTTTAAAAAATTTTATCAAATCAAAACCATCTGCAACTTGTCTGATCCCAATATAAAGGCATGGCAATGATTGTCTAATTCTTCAGTTCCATTTTTTAATGCCTACTATGATGTT